TTTAAAACACTTAAATTTTACTTAAAGTTCACTTCACTTAAAGTTTAAAACTTCTTCTCATTTTTATATTGATCCCATCCAACAAAATGATGTTCATTCAGCAAGACTTTTTTTGGTCCATGTCTAAAAATAAATACATTTGACATGTGATTTTGTTGTTGTTTGACTTTTTATTTTATTTTTGCCAGTGCCATACAGCAACAATGCTTGGGGATGTGGTCTTTTACAAATTTGAAAATACTGTAAGAATGTCACTTTTATAGAATTGGCTTCTTTATTTTATAATGTATGACTAATGTCTACATCAACAAATGTTAACCATAGAATCCTATCGAATCGTGTCATTCCTACACTGTATAGAATCGTATCGAATCGTTGTGTATTAAAAATATATCGTTTTTGAATCGTATCGTAACCCGTGTATCTAGATACGTATCGAATCGTCTATCACAGAGAGATTCCCAACCCTAGTAAATAAGCAGATCAAATTAAGAGCTGTACGAAAAACTAAATAAAACAGATGGATAAATTAATAACTAAACAGTCAAACTTTTCTGTCAATTTACTGAAATATTGCTTTACCTAACATAAAACTTATGAAATGTGATACTTACATTGAACATCTATTTGGCTGATGTTTGATCGTCCAGCTCCAAGATCATTTTGAGCCTCGCAGAAAAACAGACTGTAGTCTTTAGATGCTGTAATGTTTAAAACAGCTCCGGCCCCAATAAAAGTCTCCTGGCCTCCATCAGCTCTGTACCAGGTGTAGTTCTTTACTGGCGGGTTGGCGCTGCTGCTGCATGTCAGAGTCACATGTTTGTTCTCTTGTACTGGACCCAGGGGATGGACTGACACTATGGTGTTTTGGGGTGAATCTGAACAATGAGTAATGAAATATAAATATTATTATTATCTTCTAATTGATGTTGTCAAATATAGAAAACCAATTTCAGAATGACTTTGTTTTAGGTTTAGCTTCAACTGGTAATCAATTTCATTATTGATTAATCTACTAATTTTTCTATTAATTAAGTAAGTGCACTTGATAAAGCTAGTCATATATTGGGTATGTAGAACGTTTGATACATACACTGAACATCTATTTGTCTATTGTCGGATCGTGCAGTTCCAAGATCATTTTGAGCCTTGCAGAAAAACAGACTGTTGTCTTTAGATGCTTTAATGTTTAAAACAGCTCCGCTCCCAATAAAAGTCTCCTGATCTCCATTGGCTCTATACCAGGTGTAGGTCTTTACTGGCGGGTTGGCGCTGCTGCTGCATGTCAGAGTCACATCTCTGCCCTCTGATACTGGACCAGATGGATGGACTGACACTGTGGTCTTTTGGGGTGAATCTGAAAAATGATGAATAAATAACTTGTATTATTTATAGGTTTAAAAGTAATGTGGGTTTTTTAAGTGAAAATAGAATATGTTAAATGTAAGTGCTGACACCTTTTGGGTTGTTGTGTTGTTTTTTTGTGAGGGGAATGTTACCAAATCCACTTTGCTGACTCAGCTCAAGTTAAAGCTTGGTGCAGCATCAATGGACAGTGAGTGAGAACACAGCTCTGCCAAAAAAAAAACATTTCAATTTGCCAGAGGCCAATCTTGGAACACAACTAGCTTTTGATCTAATGACAGTAACGCCTCTAAAGCCTCTGGGGGCAACATCTAATATTTTGGTGGTTCTGGTTTAGCCAATGGATATTCTGGAGGAGACATAATCTTGCTTGCGCAGGTCATTTCAGTATGTGGATGTGGATACATTTTTAAAAGGCTTAATCGTCATCAATGTTGGTGATGGGTTCCAGTATTGCATTTCAGCCAATGTGTTCTGCCTCTCTTGCTCTCCACACAGACTGTTAAGCTGCCTCTTAAATGTGATTGTGTGTGAACGCAAAAACAGTAGAAGGCAACAGAACAGTTCAGCTATATTGTTAATAATTCTAATGAATTTAAGGACAAATGAACTCACATGAAATATTAGCTGTCAAACTTGTCCTAACAGCTGAATCAGTGCTGCCATCTTGTTTGTTGTAGGTGGCAGTACAGGAGATTGTCTTTCCATGATGGAGGTGAGAAGCAGTGAAGCTGACAACAGAGGTCTGGACTTTAGTTTTGTCCTGATTCTCCTGCAGTGTCTCCTGACTGTCACCCAGGCCGGGGGTCCATGTCAGAGTTGGAGGGTGAGACAGACAGGGAGCTGGAGCAGAGCACGTCAAACTCACTGGGGCTCCCTCCTTCACCTCCAGTGTGGACGAAGTCAGAGCCGGTCTGGGTGGATCAGCTGATGGGAAGGTACATTTTGACCAGTCACTGAATAAACAATCATTTCTCTCTAGTTTTATACTATTTGCAAAACAATAAATGCAAAATATGATTAAAGCAGGTCTACAAGAGAAGGAGAGTTAAGTGTAAGTGAAACATACCTGTGACTGAAAAAGAGATTTGTTCAGAAAAATCATATCCTAAGCCTGCGCAGTCCAGTCTGAAGGAATATTTTTTGTTGTTGTCATCAGGTTGTATGTTGTTCAGGGTTGTGGTGCAGTCTTTTTTGGTCAAGTCTCCTGTCAGTTGTCCGCTGTTTGTAGTTGTTTGTGGCTGGCTGCTATCAAACACAGTAACTCCATCTTTTTTCCATTGTGCTTTACATGTGTTGTCTAGCTGCAATTTATATTTGTTCTCCACGTCAAAGGAGCAGGGGATGGTCACACAGGATCCACTAGGAACCTCTATAGTCTGTGGCATTATGACCTTAAACACTCCACACAGGTCACCTGAAACACAAGATACAAATCTTTGAATAAGAGCAAGTGAAGACTTTTTTACTGTTTACTGGTTGCCTTAGTGCTATACATTATTATTAGAATAGGTCAGAATTTGAATGTTAATTATAATACATTACAGCAGAGGACAAATGAACTCACATGAAATGTCAGCTGTTAAACTTGTGCTAACGGCTGACTCAGTGCTGCCATCTTGTTTGTTGTAGGTGGCAGTACAGGAGATTGTCTTTCCGTGATGGAGGTGAGAAGCAGTGAAGCTGACAACAGAGGTCTGGACTTTAGTTTTGTCCTGATTCTCCTGCAGTGTCTCCTGACTGTCACCGAGGCCGGGGGTCCATGTCAGAGTTGGAGGATGAGACAGACAGGGAGCTGGAGCAGAGCACGTCAAACTCACTGAGGTTCCTTTCTTCACCTCCAGTGTGGACGGAGTCGGAGTCAGAGTCGGTCTGGGTGGATCAGCTGGTGGGAAGGTAGATTTTGACCAGTCACTGAATAAACAATCATTTCTCTATATTTGTCATACTGTTTGCAAAAACAATAAATCCAAAATATGATTAAAGCAGTTCCACAAGGGAAGAGAATGAAATGTAAGTAAATGGGGTTTAAAACATACCTCTGACTGCAATAGAGATTTGATCAGGAAAAGTATAACTCAGGCCTCTGCATTCCAGTCTGAAAAAATATTTTTTGTTGTTGTCAACAGGTTGTATGTTTTTCAGGGTTGTGGTGCAGTCTTTTTTGGTCAAGTTTCCTGTCAGTTGTCCGTTGTTTGTAGTTGTTTGTGTCTTGCTGCTATCAAACACAAAAGCTCCATCTTTACTCCATAGTGCTTTACATGTGTTATCTAGCTTCGATTCATACTGGGCCGTCACGTCAAAGGAGCAGGGGATGGTCACACAGGATCCACTAACAACCTCTATAGTCTGTGGTATTATGACCTTAAACTCTCCACACAGGGCACCTGAAACACAAGATACAAATCTTTGAATAAGAGCAAGTGAATACTTTTAATGAGGAATTTATTTACTGTTTACTGGTTGCCTTAGCGCTATACATACTTCTTAGAATAAGTCAAAATGATGACTGTAAAGATTGTGCATTGTTCCCACAGTAGTTTTTCCCCCAGATGTTCAGATTAAAACCTGTCAAATTAAAGTTCCAAGAAAAAACCAGCTGGACGCTTTTGTTGCTCACTGTTTTAATTTTCTGCAGTATATATTACAGGTACTGTTGTATTGTGGTGTGAATGCTTGACTTCAATACTGACTAAACGACTCACCTTGCAGCACCGAGCCAATGAGAAGGAGAGTCAGAGCTGCAGCCATCTTTGTGTGTCAGGAGAGGCAGAAACTCTGGAGATTTTACATAGAACAATTCACATTACTGTGTTTAATCTCTAATTATTTCAGGTTTGTAGAGTAGGTTGCAGATGGAGAAATGTTTTGCTGTCTCTTCTTCCTCTTTTACATCAATGTGGAAAAGGCTTAAGGGAAGCCTGTGAGGGATTCTGAGACACTAATACTCAGATGAATAATATCACTGCTTGTGACTTAATTCCTTTATTGATCCATGAAATAAATTGCAAATACCCAATCTATTATGAAACTTTGGTGATGGACATTTCCAACAAAAGTGTAATGTTGGTTCAGTATTTCTGCTGACTCTGAGAGATTTGCAAAAACAAATTGTATGTCAGACACTTTTTAACGTTCGGCCACAACAACCTGCTTTTTAAAGATGCAGAAGACATAATGATAAAAAGGAAAAAGAGGAAGCTAAATGTAAAAGCCAAACGTGACAAACGTGTCTGTTATTTTTCTTTTTGTTTATTTACAAAACTACAATTTGTTTCAGGCAACAAAGATATTCAACAGTAACAATGTCAAAATGGCAGCTCAGAATTTTCAGTTTTAGATAAAAAGTTTTTCACCTTTTTGTAAAGTGTCTTTTTCTGTCTACCTTGAAATTATTTATCAACTCGAAGACAAATGACTAAATGTTTACACTTTTAGAGTTTTGCATCATATTTAAAAGCAATTTTGATGATTTAATATATTTCATATAATAAGTTATGACTTACGTTTTCTTCAGGTCTTTCGAGCAGACCGATAAAAGACGTGTGGAGAAATGAAGTTCCTTAAAAGTTGTGCTGCTTTTTAAACAGTATGCAACGCTTGAAATGAGGAAGTCACTGTGGTGCACATGTGTGACGGGGGGCTGGGGGGGATGACATGCAGCAAAGGGCCACAGGCTGGACTCGAACCCGGGCCGGGCAGCCTTGTACACTTGCTCTATCCACTAAGCCACTGACGCCCCAAATGTACTTTTTTAAAATCAGAAATGTCCGACATCTGTCCTGATCTTTGCTTTTGCTTTATTGATCACAGATATTATTCTTTGATTCAAATATTCAGTCTTTAGATGTAGAAATGAAATATAATGTTTATAATAACAGCCTGTTCACAGGAATGTCTACAATTGATCAAGACAGTACAAAAAAATCAATAATTAGCCTTTATTGTTGAAGCAATTTACACAGTTACTATAACAACAATAACCTTGTTAAACTTAATACTTAAATCCCGCAAATTTAACTAAAATGTTTCAAATCTACAGACTGACAAAAAAATCTGGATTGAAAAGGTGATGTCATGCTCAGTTAACTCTCCTGTGATCATTTACAGTCTTTTTTTTTTTTTTTTTT